CGTTACAACACATATTAGATGATATTGGAAATATGGTTTTAGTTTCCTAGAGGCGCTTATTAAAGCAAGCGCTAATTTTTCTAAGTGTGGATATCTAGTTTTGGCCTCACCTAAGGTCCGACTAACATAATAGACAGGGAATTGCATACCTTGTTCTTCTCGGACCAGGACTCCACTTACACCTATCTCCGAGATTGCTAAGTACAGGTAAAGCTATTCGTCCACTTCGGGGTGTGAAGCAGCGGCGGGCTCGATAAATACCGCTTTAGTTCCTCCAAGGCCTGCTGGCATTCCGGAGTCCATGCAAAATTGCTCTTCTTCTTAAGCAGCGAGAAGAATCGGTAGCTCCTATCTGAGGATCTCAAAATGAATCATCCTAGGGCGGCTATCCGTCCTATCAGCCTCTGCATGACTTTTACATTATCCACTACCGTGATATCCTCGATAACTTTAATTTTATCGGGGTTGATATCGATTCCCCGATTGGACACCATGAAACCAAGAAACTTGCCCGAGCCAACCCCGAATGCACACTTTTCGGGGTTGAGCTTCATATTGTACTTCCTCAGTATATCTAAAGTCTCATGCAAATGCTTTAGATGGTCCTGTGCTCACAGGGACTTAACTAACATGTCATCAATATAAACTTCCATTGATTTTCCTATTTGTTCTTCGAACATTCGGTTTACTAGGCGTTGATAAGTTGCACCAATATTTTTTAGACCGAATGGCATTACATTATAACAATANCATCAATATAAACTTTCATTGATTTTCCTATTTGTTCTTCGAACATTCGGTTTACTAGGCGTTGATAAGTTGCACCAATATTTTTTAGACCGAATGGCATTACATTATAACAATAGGTACCGTACTTAGTGATAAACGAGGTCTTTTCCTGATCCTCCGGGTTCATCTGTATCTGGTTGTACCCGGAGTAGGCATCGAGAAAACTGAGAGTCTCATGGTCGGTCGTGGCATCGATTATACGATCGATATTAGGCAAAGGAAAAGAATCCTTGGGACATGCTTTATTCAGGTCTTTATAATCTACACACATTCTAAGTTTGTTTCCCTTCTTAGGGACTACCACTACGTTTGCTAACCATTCGGGGTACTTTACTTCTCGAATGGATCCTATTTTGAGAAGTTTGGTTACCTCGTTCTTGATGAAGGCATATTTGACCTCGGACTGGGGGCTTCTTTTTTGCTTCACCGGGCGGAATTTAGGGTTCAGGCTCAGTTTGTGAGTGGTAATTTCTGGTGGGATCCCTGTTATATCAAAGTGGGACCAAGCAAAGCAATCCGTGTTATCTTTAAGGAAATGAATAAGTTTTTTCCTGAGCTCGGGGGTTAGCCCCGTGCCCAGGTAAACCTTTCGTTCGGGATGATGCTTGGACAGTGAGACTTGTTCCAGCTCTTCGACCATTGACTTGGTGGCGTCGGAGTCATCAGGAATTATGAAGGATCAAGGGATCCAGTAGTCGTCATCCCCGTCGATCCCTTGCTCCTGCAATTGGGTCGAGGCCGGTGTCTGTGGTTGTTATTTGGCCTTCTTCTTTCCCTTCGAATCCGATCTCTTCGTTGATGAGAGTGCCAATACCGGTATCACTTCATCGACTACAAATATCTCCTTGGCGGCGAGTTGCTCCCCGTACACTGTTTTGACTCCCTACGATGTCGGGAACTTCAGAACTTGGTGAAGGGTCGAGGGTACTGACCTCATGTTATGGATCCACGTCCTTCCGAGCAGGGCGTTGTACCTCATGTCACCCTCGATTATATGGAACTTTATTTCTTGGATGGTCCCGGCCACGTTCACTAGCAAAGTAATTTCACCTTTGGTGGGTTCGCTTGCCATGTTGAAGCCGTTAAGTACTCGGGCTGCAGGCATAATTTGATCTTGTAGGCCGAGTTGTTCTATGACCCTCGATCGAATAATGTTGGCCGAGCTACCTGGATCAATCAAAACACGTTTAACTTGAATTTTATTAATAAGGACATATATTACCAGTGCGTCATTGTGGGGTTGTAAGATCCCCTCTGCATCCTTGTCATTGAAAGACAAGGTCCCTTCCGGTATGCAGTCTCGAGTCCGTTTTTCCCTCGTGATCGACACCTTGGTGCCTTTGAATACGGGCCCCTAAGGAATATCAACCCCTCCAACAATCATGTGGATCACGTGCTGCGGCTCTTCTTGCTCATTCTGTCTGTTTGAATCTTTGTTCTTGAAGTGGTTTTTAGCCTGATCGCTTAAGAATTCTCGAAGATGCCCTTCGTTGAACAAACGGGCTACCTCCTCCCTCAGCTGTCTGCAATCTTCTATTCTATGACCATGGGTGCCATGATATTTGCACATTTGATTAGGATTTCTCTCGGCCGGATCAGTCTGCAGAGGTCGGGACCACCTAATGTCTTTGATGCGCCCAATGGCCGATACAATAGCTGATGCATCAATGTTGAAGTTGTATTCCGATAGTCGTGGTGCTTCTTTGGGTTCGACATTTCTATAGAAACTGCTCTTACTCATGGGCCCTCGAGAGGTCTGTCCTCGATCATTTCTTCTATCAATTCGAACGAGGTTGCGTCCATGCCCATTATTTCTCCGATCTCCACCGTATGGCTGATATCGATCTCTGTTAGATCGTGGTTCCCGGTTAATATCCCTTTTAACTCTGTCGATGGTCCTGTTTGGATAAATGGATCCGGAAGGATCCCCCAACTGGTCATCCTCGACCCTAATCTTTGATTGGTACCGATTATGCACATCGGCCTAAGTTACAGCTAGATTTTCGATCAAGTTCTGCTTTAACTGTTGTGAGGCTACCGAACTTCGTATGTCTAAGCCTTGAGTGAAAGACTGAACGACCCAATCGTCGGCGACCGGGGGAAGATACATACGCTCCATTTGTAACCGAGATACGAACTCTCTGAGCATCTCGTTGTCTCTCTGTTTTACTTTGAAGAGGTCCGACTTTCTAGTCTCGACCTTTATCACTCCGGCATGTGCTTTGACGAAGGAATCTGCGAGCATGGCAAAAGAATCAATGGAGTTAGGTGGCAAATTATGGTACCATATCATCGCCCCCTTTGATAACGTTTCTCCGAATTTCTTCATCAGTACAGACTCAATCTCATCGTCCTCTATTTCGTTCCACTTTATTGGGCATGTGTAAGAAGTGACACGTTCGTTGGGGTCGGTAGTTCCATTATACTTAGGAATTTCTAGCATGCGAAATTTCTTCGGAATAGGCTTAGGAGTCGCGCTCGGGGGGAAGGGCTTTTGTACAAACTTCTTTGAATCCAAACCCTTCAAAATCGGTGGTGCCCCCAGAATTTGATCAACTCGGGAGTTCTATGTTTCTACTTTTTTGTCATTCGCTTTAATTTTCTTCTCCCCCGATTCAATTTGCTTTGTTAGCTCCTCGAACATTTTCAAGATAGCGGGGTCGATCCCTGACTCATTCGCATTTGACCTCCCCGACACTGGTTCGACCCTGTGAATAACTTCCTGTGATAGCTCGGGTTCAACCCTACTCGGTGCGTGGTTCTGATTTTGAAGTTTTGCTATTGCAACTTGTTGAGCCTGCATCATTTCGAATATTATTTGAAGGCTGATTTCGCCTTCTTCGCTGACCTGTGCATTATGACAGGCTGATCGAACGTCTTTACGGATGCTATTTTCGGGGTCGACGCCCAGATTTGCATTCAGGGCAACATGGGAACTGACGTCGATGGGGCCTGCAACTGGTACTCCCTCGAGATCAGCTGGAGGCACTTCGTTTCCTGGGGCGGCTACATTATTGTTTTCGCCATGAAAACCAAGGCCATTATCGATTTATGTGGGTGCTGCTCGAGAGTTTGACATGTTGATCCTGGAATAAAAAACGCTTACAAGAACAAGTGTAAAACAGTATGTGTTATGAAAATTAGCACCAGGTAATCACTATTATTCTTAGCCCCATGGTGGGCGCCAAACTGTTTACCCTTAAAATTGGATAACAATTAAATTTGTAAGTGATTTTAAGGATATGTGATTTCACTTGGCACAAACAGAGAAATATGGGAATTGAAGTTAGAAATTAACTGTAAAATGAAGCAAACCAATGTAACGCGCAAATTTGACCCTCGAGCTAGGTCGTCCTCGAACCAACTGAGTATATTATTGAAAAGTAAGAACTGAACAACTGAATAAGAGAGCTTAAGAGAGGAAACGTAATATATTACTTTGTTATCCGTGAATGTCTCCTTACAAAATGATTGGAACCCTCTTTATATAGTAGATGAGTTCTACATATGGTACAATTCTAAATACAAAATGAAATCATCTGATTGGCTAATCAACCGATCTTGACTTGATACATGCCGAGATCTCTGCCACAATCTTCGCCCGGTCACGGATTCCTCGGCTTTCTGTTATTCGACTTAATAGGCTTCCTTCGATCTCGCTAGATCTCTATCCTTCTCGGTCTCGACCTTAGCTGATCTCGATCTCGATCTATCCCTGAATCACGAGCTAGGCAATATTTATTCATGTAACGATCCAATATAACTTGGGATTGAACCTCGGTCTGCCATCCCGGTCTCGATTAACCATACAAAATCAGGCAAACCCGATTCTGACCGTATACAACTTCATTTGGATGTTCCGAATGTGAGATTGAATTTTTTTTTAGGCAATTTAACATGAATATTTCATTTGAATATTTATTTTTATAAGAAGAACAAAAAGCTCAACCTATAGTCTCAAAATAAAAAATTCAAAATATCCAAACGCCCATCGCTAATAGTTTTGGTACTGTGGCCTTAACAGGTCAAACACAAACTCTACCGTATAAAATAGTAAAGAAATGAAAGGAATATTATTTATTTAATGAAAAACACATTAATTTAATGCACAAAATGGATTCGGATAAAAANGGATAAAAGGATCCGGTCCAATGGGCCCACCACCTCTCTCTCCCCAAAAACGTGGCACTCTCAATCAGAATATAACTCAGCCACCGCAACATAAAAAAGCCCACAGTACTGGTGAAAATACCAAGAGATCAAGCTCTCAAAAAAAGTCTCTAGGGTTTCGCTAGGGTTTGTTTCTGTGCTACTATGGCGTCGGAGAGTGATCAGGGACGTAGGATCAAGGGATCCGTGAAATGGTTCAATGATCAAAAGGGTTTCGGTTTCATTACTCCTGATGACGGCGGTGAAGATTTGTTTGTTCATCAATCTGGTATCAAATCTGAAGGCTTTCGTAGCTTAGCTGAAGGTGAAGTTGTTGAGTTTGAAGTTGAGTCTGGTGATGATGGCCGTACTAAGGCTGATAATGTTACTGGACCGGATGGTGCACCTGTTCAAGGTGGTGGCCATGGCGGAAGCGGTGGAGGCGGCGGCGGGGGTCGATATGGTGGTGGAGGTGGATATGGCGGCGGTGGAGGTGGTAGATATGGTGGAGGTGATGCTGGTTACGGAGGTGGTCGGTATGGAGGTGACGGTGGATACGGCGGCGGTGGTGGTAATAGGTATGGTGGAGGCGGCGGATATGGCAGCGGCGGCGGTGGTGGAAGCGGGTGTTATAAGTGTGGAGAAG